GCCTCTACTTCCTCCCTCTGCTGTGCCTCTGCTTCCTCCCTCTGCTGTGCCTCTGCTTCCTCCCTCTGCTGTTCCTCGGCTTCCTCCCTCTGCTGTGCCTCTGCTTCCTCCCTCTGCTGTTCCTCGGCTTCCTCCCTCTGCTGTGCCTCTGCTTCCTCCCTCTGCTGTTCCTCGGCTTCCTCCCTCTGCTGTGCCTCTGCTTCCTCCCTCTGCTGTTCCTCGGCTTCCTCCCTCTGCTGTGCCTCTGCTTCCTCCCTCTGCTGTTCCTCGGCTTCCTCCCTCTGCTGTGCCTCTGCTTCCTCCCTCTGCTGTTCCTCGGCTTCCTCCCTCTGCTGTGCCTCTGCTTCCTCCCTCTGCTGTTCCTCGGCTTCCTCCCTCTGCTGTGCCTCTGCTTCCTCCCTCTGCTGGGCCTTTGCTTCCTCCCTTTGCTGTGCCTCTGCTTCCTCTCTTTGCTGTGCCTCCGCTTCCTCCTTTTGCTTTGCCTTGGCTTCCTCCCTCTGCTGTGCCTTCGCTTCCTCCCTTTGCTGTGCCTCTGCTTCCTCCCTCTGCTGTGCCTCCGCTTCCTCCCTTTGCTTTGCCTCGGCTTCCTCCCTCTGCTTCCTCCCACTGCTGTGCCATTCACAAAGCTCAGCTGCAACATCTAAAGATTTTAGTAGGTGTAGACTGGTGGGCTGATTCATCCCCTGCTTCTTATATGTTTTGGATACTCCAACAGTAAGATCCACCTGCCATGTTTCCCAACCTTTGTGTGTCAGCACAGCAGCTTGCAGTCACCTCTAGGGGGAGCGTGTCACAGGGTGACAATGCAGCAGCACAGTTGGGAGACAGTTGTCACCCATAAAGGGAGTCTGAACAAGGACCTTCATGGCAGGGTCACCAAGTATTCCTTTAATAAAAACTGCAGATTTTGAAAAAACGAAAACACTTTTTGAATTGACATGAATATGTCAAAGCTTATATGAGACATCATTGATGGGGTTTGCATCTACTTGATAATGATACAACCCGGCTTAATAGTTACACTTCAAAATACACCGTAGCCCTCAGCGTAGCCCATCTTGTCTTGGTTTGTATTGTAATTATAATGTCTTCCTTATATTGAAAAGCGATGTGCAAACTGTTGGTGCTATATAAGTCTTGTATAATAATAATTAGGGATGCACCAATACCGATACTTGTATCAGTGCCGAGCATTTGGGCAAGTACTCATACTCGCCCAAATGCTCTGATGCCTAGCCCGATACTTGAGCTTCCGGTATTAGGAGGCCAAGCAGTGAGTCATTACACAGCACCCGGCTTCCTGATTGGCTGGGAAGCCGTCTCCATGCTCCCTCGTCACCTGATGACGAGGGAGCATGGAGACGGTTTCCCTGGTGGGTGGTGAATCTTTACACAACGCCCAGCTTCCATGCTAATCAGGAAGCCAGGTGGCGAATCATTACAAGCCGCCTGGCTTCCTTAATGGGACTTCCGATATTGGTATACGGTACCTAAGAAAAACATCGGTACTCAATACCGAAAAAAATTTATTGGTGCATCCCTAATAATAATGATCCAAGAGCTTTGGGGGAATGTATCAAAACTGGAGCAGACAGAATCTGGAGCAGTTGCCCGTATTATCCAATCAGCATCTTTTTTCAAAATTTTCAGTAATTTTTCCTAATTATAATAAAAAATAAAACCACCAGTGGTGATGAAATACCACCAAAAGAAAGCTCTATCTGTCCCCAAAAAATGGTGTAAAATTCATTTCAGTACAGCGTTGCATGACGGAATAAACGTCAGTCAAAGTATCGCAGCGCTGAATACTGAAAAATGGCCTGGCCAGGAAGGGGGGTCTAAACACCTGGTCTTGAAGTGGTTAATTTTCAAAGCTTAACTGAAAATGAGAAGCTGATTGGTTTTGTCTGCTCTAGTTCCTCCTATTTTGTTTCCTTCCTTTTTTTCTTTATAAGGCGCACTAAGAAGTGACAGGTCCTCTTTACGAAACTGAATTTTAGAATGCAGAAACTGCGCTGTAAGTTATGTCCCATTCCAGTGTTCCAAAAAGTAGCTCCAATAGCACCCCCGTATGGTATGTAGGTAAAGCACACTACGGTATTTGTGTGATTGAAGTGTAAGATCACATACTGCCATCTGGAGACAAAACCTGCAAGCACACAGATCTCATCCCGAAGCATTATTATTACACGGGATGGTTTTCTGCTCTACTCAGTAGTCATGTGCAGAAGATTTGCTGTATCTTCCTGCTTTCTGCATACAATGTTGTGTTGGGGTCAGAGTCCTCAGTTTGTCTTGCCCCGGGTTATGACTGAACAATACTGTGCCATCTATGTGGCTGAATTGGACCAGAAATAAGTTGGTGATGTTGCACCATATCAGAGGGATTCCGGTTTTGTTTAAAATGAATATAACAAATATAGTTTCAGAACTTTGCTCCCCTATCTCCCTGACCTGCGGCAACATCTTCACCTGGGCTTCTTCTGGGCTTGGGATTTTCAGGCATCTTGAATGACATAACTCCCACGCATGGGCAAATGGTTCATACATTCCGGCACTGGCCTAGCCAGTCTTTACATATTGGCACTTTTTTATTTTCTCCACTGTCTGTGCACTTTACTTTTTGTGTCGGTTCTTTTTCACTCCACAGGACGGAGGGTGTGGGTTTTTGGGCCTACCCTGAAGTCTAGGTGGGGGGGGGGTGTGGCCATTAGGTGCCTTCCTCCCCTGAATCGGGGATTTCCCTTCGGGGGAGCCCTGGGGGGGTTCAGGGAAGGGCCCTGTCTCTTCGTGAGAGGGACCAAATCTGACACACTCTTGTGCACTTTTTTTGTGTTTTCACGTGTACTTTTTTGGTTCCCTTTTTGGGTGTCTGTTTGCACGCACTGCAGGCTTAAAAAAAAAAAAATTTAATTCCGACACTGAGGCAGAGATTTGCCTTTTTTTTTTTTGATAGATTATGGAATGGTAAGAACTTCCATTGGCTCTCTTTGTGTCCTGGAGTAGAGATTTTCCTTCACTTCCTTTCCCAAAGACACAACAGGAAATAAGCAGAAACCTCAGGGTACACAGATATCAACACAAGCCTTACGGTGGTTTTAAGGAAGTTGTCCAACTGTTGCAATAAATAAAAATAGCAACTGCAGCAACATTGATCTCATGATCGAAGAGCATTTACCAATGTTTGCAGTGGGGTGTGCAGAGCATTACACCTGTGATTAATGTGTTGTGGGTGCACAGGCCTCAGGTCTGTATGGAGGTCCAGACTTGCTGGAGGAAGTGGCGGTGCACTACAGAGCGATGATGAGGGAGGGATCGCTGGTTGTTCTGCAAAGTCCTTCTTCCGTGGTCAGTCATCAACAAAGGTGATTCCTTTACCTGGATGACGCAGCTGTGCATAAAATTCAAATACAATACTGCAGAGAGCAGCATCCTGCAATTCATGTAAAGGGGGTGGGGGCACCCTAAATATCTGAGCAGCATGAAACATCATGATGTACACACAAGTGGACTTTAACGTGTCCACACTCTATCCCGATGAAACAAAATGTGTTTAAAATAATTAGTAACATTAAAGGAAACTTTATTTTCTCAATTTAGAAGTGAACGGGCACCCTTGTAAACAATGGGATTCTTCTTTTTGTGGGTAGGGACAACCCAGATAGCATGCAATTGAGCTGCAAGTTTGAAAATGATTTGCTAAACTATTGCAGACTTGCCAAGCTTCACAATTGTGTGGCACAATTACAGCAAGTCTGCATTGCAAGTCTCCAGATCAACGTGCGTTACAAAAGTACTGTACACTTGCAGAGCTCTTGCTAAGACCCCCAGGACTCTTGCTGTAGACTTGCCAAGCAAATTTGCTACAAATTCAAAAAGTGTCAACTACCGTGTTTCCCCGAAAATAAGACACTGTCTTATATTTTGTTTGGCTCAAAAAAACACACTAGGTCTTATTTTTGGGGTAGGTCTTATTTTTATTTTTTTTAATGTACAACAATCCACACTTATTCATGTAGAAAAGTCTACATGTATTCATATACAAAAATATGGTGATCAGGGCAATCAGGGGTGCCGTACCTTTCCAAGAGCAATTTGCTAACCAATCACTGGCCAGAATGAGCGAAGCTTTCACAATGGATTCCTCACAGGCGGAGTGCATTCTGTATCACTCCGCCTGTGACAGGAGCCGGCGCTATAGAGGAAACATCGGCTTATGCAGCTCTGCTCCCTCCGGTGCCGCCTCGCTTCCTCTAGCGCTGGCTTCGTTGGCACCGCTGATTCTCTCCTGCCTCTCCCGCGGCTCTTCAAGTTCCCCCTTATGCCACCACCGGCCCTGGGAATGGTCACAACTAGGTCTTATTTATGGGGTAGATCTTATATTTTAGCAAGTCCCACAAATAGTACTAGGTCTTATTTTCGGGGAAACAGGGTAGAACTTGTGCTGCTAGTGTTCTGCAAGTCTACAACTAGCCAGGAATGTGTGCAGCAAGTTAGAAAGAATTACAATTTAACCCTGCCACAAGTTTGTGGCAAGTTATCCTTGCTTTCTGGGAAGGTGTGACTGGGTTCTGGATCATGTCACTAGAGCATTGTCATGCTGTAACCCATAGCAACCGATAACAGGCTGAAAAGCAGACAGATATTCTTCAGTGGTTGCCTGTGGTTTGCACATTGTCCTTTGTCTAAGAATTCGGCGGCCATTTTTCCGTATACTTAGAGGCGACAACTGGACTTGTCTCCGACAAAATGGCTGCCAACCGGAAGACCTCGTCTTTTTCTATTCTAATGACGCTTCTGCTGCGGCGGATATTGCGGATGCTTTTTCTCGTTACACCCCGCTCCTGGCGGAAGTTGGTGACTGCTTTCCCCGGTATATGTTCCTGGCGGAAGTCCTGGAATGCAGAGTTGTGTCGGTGCTGGCGGCTCCGGGGCGTGTAGGCCGCGGGGCCTGGGGCTGTGAGCGGCGGCTATAAGGGGGGTGGTGCTTGTAAGGGGAGCTTAAGCCAGGAACATGGCCACTCGCCGCCTGACCGACGTCTTCATATTATTGCGGAACAATGCCGCCCACAACAGGCACATTCTGGCCGAGCAAGTGAGTAATGGCGGCGGGAGGGCGCCCGGCCGCGGAGCGGTGAGTCTCCGGGTGACTAGACTAGAATTTGGTGTGACAGCTGCTGTGGAGGGCGGAGGAGAGGATGGGGCCACCGTGTATGAGAGGATCATGTGTAGTGCACATACCCTGTACTCCCATACAGGAGGTATCATATATACATACAGTATATGTGCTGTATTCTATCAGTCCCCAGCCTCTGCATCATGCAGAATATCATATTTATATTCTATAACATCCCCCAACACTGTGAGAGTGGCCCCATCCTCCCCGTGACCCCAGCATCACGTAAAATATACATTCATAATATTTTACCCATCTATATCATGTCCTCAATGCAAAGTGAGGGGCCCCATCCTCCCTGTGACCCTGGCATCATGTAGAATGTCACATTCTTAATATTTTACCCATCTATATCATGTCCTCAATGCACTATGTGAGGGGACCCTATCCTCCCTGTGACCCCCAGCATCATATAGAGTATACAATTTATAAAATGTACCTGTATAATGTCCCCAGCACTATGTGAGGGGTTCTCTCACTGACACCAGCATAATCCTATCCATATATTATATTGCTATAACACCCTCACCCTTCAATGACCCCGACATCATATAATACCTCTATAACATCCTACTGCTCTATGTGTGGGGCTCCATCCTTCCATGACACCAGAATCATACAGAATATTGTATTTGTACCATTTCCCCAACACTTTGTGAGGGGCCTCATCCTTCCCGTGACCCCAGCATCATGTAGAATATCATATAACATTTTACCTGTGTGTGTATATAACAGCTCTCTATTGCCACACATCAGTGTAATGTTGATGTTCTATTATACATTTTATAATGACTGTATAAAAGTTATGTGTGTGTGAAGAGTTTTGCATCTTCTATTAACCTTATATAATGTAATGTATTTTTTAGGATTGATACAGAGCCCTCATCTCTTGTAGCACTGTATATAGTGATACAGATAGGGGAAATAGAAACGCGTACATTGTTTTTCCTTTAACTGAGATAAATACACAATAACCGGATATTGTAAGGGAAAGAGCCCCGTCCATACAAGCTGACAGTCTAGAGCAGCGGTAGGCAACCTGCTGAAACTTTGACAATGCATTCAGAAATGATAGAATAGTGCAGTGTGAATGGCTGCAGGTTCCCTCCTATCGGGTCTCCTACATGAGATCAGTTTCAGGGGCAATGTTGTGGCTTTGGGTTTCCACCGTTTGTTACATAAGCCTTTGTGAGTAGCCGGTTCTCACATTCACACACAAGTCCTCTTACAAGGTTACAAATGGCAGTTCCATGAAGATCTGTCGTAGTTGCATTAATAGCTTTTGTGTGCACACCTGTCTGAGGCGTGACCGGTGAATGTACCAGTCACCATGCCTGTCACCCTGTAAATAGGGGATGCTGACGTTTCTGTGTTCTTACTTTTTTTTTTTTTGCTCCCTTTGCTGTCTACTCCGAGGTACACTGTGTATCACAACATAGCGATGTAGAACTTAGTGCTGTAGCTTTGCCTACGTAGCTGCCATCTGTAAAAGCGGCTTATTTGCAATAAATGTATGGAAAGCACCTCCTAAAGCCCCCTTCACCCAGGCACTGTACTTTTCATTCAACATGGAATCTGTGCCCAGATCTTGCTTCTTGGAGCAGTATGGAACAGATGGGGGGGAAAAAAAAACTGAACTAACTGGATCCATGTTAACTTAATGGGCAGATCTGTCAACAAGAAAATCTGCTCAGTTTTTTTTTTTTTTCTTCTTTCTCGACCTGGACAGAATTGGGGGTAATCAGATGTAAATGGCTCCACATCTGTTCACGTCTGGCTGCCCATAGACTAACATTGGGCTTTCCTGAAAAACTGACAGGTGGATCTGAATGGACTGCCTGTGTGCAAGGGGCCTCAATGCAGTTCTAGACAATGTTTACATCTATATTAACAGATACCTTCAGTGCAGCAGTTTTTTTTTTTTTTTTTTAACCAAACCGAACCGCTGTTCATGTAGTCACCACTAAAGGTCTGTGCGTAATGTACACAGCAGGTGCTGCTTTTGACTGCCATCCCTTGACCAGCTGATCGAAGGAACTGGTCGGAAAATCTTCGAATGAACAGAGGCGGCAGCCAATGAGCTGCTGACTTTGCTCGGGTACTCTGACACTGGCCGACATCAGAATACAATGAAGACAGCGGGAGATTCCTCCATCAATGCTTGTAAGTGCTGATGGAGGAATCTATTCTAGAACAGTGTATGGCCAGCTTAACAGTCATGGACATGTAGAAAAATCCAACTGACTCCAGTAATCTTGGTGTATGTCCACCCAAAGCATTTTTCCTAGTTTTGGAATGCTAGAACCCGTGTCAGATTTGTATTTCTCTGTGCCCCTGCTTTAGATCTCCTTTCACTTCCTGTATGGTGAAATTGTTGTCATCAGGACAGGAAATAAGAGTCAATCTCCGTAATTGAACACCAGATAGCAGTAAAAAGCACTGATTAGAAAGGGCATTGGGGGACATTTTGTAAATGTCACGGCATTGTCTCCATTCGCTATCGTGTTGCAGCAGGTGTAAAATGCTGTATGTAAATGGAGGTCCGTTGTATGAACTAAAGGTGCCCATACACTCTGCGATTATCACGGGAAATCCCGCGATCGTACGATAATCGCACAGTGTATGGAAGGCGTGCAACCGTTTTTACTGTACGGTCGCACGTCTTTTGTCTTAGGAGCATGCTAGAAAACCAGCCGAGAATCGTACGATTTTCGGATGGTTTTTAGCATGATCGTAAGATCAATGCCGCACGCACCGGTGTGCGCATGCGCATACTGCCCGTTCAGCATTGCGGTCATCGGAAGCCCGCCCCTCAGGGGAGCGGGGTTGCGATGATCGCAAGTACGATCTGCCTGTCCAAGATGGGCAGATCGTACGTTTTTTTAAATTACTTTACAACCATCGCAAGACTAAGGTCTTGCGATGGTTGTAAAGTGTATGGTTACCTTTAGGGTCCAGCTGACAGGAGATAGGATCGTTAGTTCACTCATGGGCTCCATAATGTCAGTTGCAGACTTTTTGGTTTTGAAATGCTGTAGAAAGTTAAATGAAACCTGATTGTGTTGCCTCCAATTGTGTAGCTTTTAATTGTTAGAGACCCCAGATCCCCAAAGCTCAGGCCACCATTAGAGATCAAAGCTTCCTACTTCCACTTGTGTGGCCACCCTTCCCGTCCTCCACACCCTTTATTTACCTACCAAATGCAACGGGTATCTTCACTGGTCATTATGCAGGTACAGCAGCAGAAGGGGGGCCAGAAGTGTGACCAAGAAGTAGTGGTAGCTATTTCCTCAGGGTTTTGGGGATCCAAGTGGGGCAGTGAAGATATTAAAATTGGAGCTGGCAGGTGCTTTCTATAAGGATCGGGACATGTTAGAACAACACTTTAAAGAGGAATAGTGGAGGAATTTAGTGTCTCCCAAAACAGTTACTTTCAAGGCGTGCCAGTGTGCTTATTTCAGCTCTCAACCAAACTTTCAAGCCCTCAAATGTCTGGTGTCACAGCTGATCACATGTTCAACTGCAATCCAGATAAAGGGCTAAGATGGCACCTTCCTTGCCTGTAAAGGATGGGAGGATGTAGTTATAAAAGGAAAGGGCTTTTAAAGGATACGGCTCTCTACAGTGACAGGGGAGGGGCTGGATTGCCCTCTCCCCACTCCGATCTGACTGGCGGAACGGACGGGGGAGGGGGCGGGTACAGCTGGCTCTGCCTCTAGATAGGCAGAGCCAGCTGTCACTCACGCAGCTGGGCGGATCCCGTCATCTACGTCGGGATCCGCTCCAGGTGCGGCATCTCAGTATACCGCGAGCTGTAGCTTGCGGTATACTGAGCTTAGGGTAACGGGAGGACGCTAGTTTGTGTCCTCCCGTTACCCTAAGGAGAACTATGGTGAAAAACACTGACCCCATAATTCTCCTTTTTAATATCTTGTGCGCTCTCTACAAATGCAAGCAACTGCCAGCTATTTCCATGTTTTTGTTGCCTAATCAGCCCATCAGATTCTGATTGTGATAAGCCACACAGTAGTGATGTAGTATGTTATAGGTTAGGCCTGTTGCCATGCTGGTGCTTTTTATGTGTTGTAAATCACAATAAGCAAAATGTAAATTGGTGTTGGTGACCTTCTAATAATTGGCACTGATCTTTGTTCTTTCTGTGTCTGTGCTGCTGTCTGCCCTTTGTCCCCTCTTCCTTTCATCTGATGGAACTGCAATCCAGGAGCTCGATGAGGTATAGTGTCTTCCGCTAAACCTGATGTTTGATCTGATTTTGTATGTTCTTTCATCACCTCGATGATTGGTTATCATTTTTGTCTAGCTGTTTTTTTCCTTCCATTGATCTGTGCTTCAAGTTTATTTTCCCAGCGAGGGAATTTGACATCATCTTGCAAGTTATAAGTTAATGATAGTATGATCATTCCACACACTAGCACAGAGCATGCTCACTGTACCTCTGATACCATGCCCAGGCACTGCAGATATGTAAATATTCATCTGGAGAATCATTCAGTGTTTTCAGGCCTTTTGTTTTTTTTAGAAAAAACGCACATTTTTGATGTGAATAAGTATGAGTATGCTGGATTATCTGATCTGCAAAGATTCATGCAATTCATAAACTGATAGATTTGCAGCAGATTGGCTCATTGCTGAACATATTCAAGCAAATGTAATTGTTGTTATTGGCCAATTTGCCCAGTTATCATGATCAGTTTGCAGATCTCTACTAGAGGAAGACATGTTCAGCTAAAATTATATACCTTTCTTAAAAAAAGTGTTTGTGCTCACTGACCGTTGTTCTTGGGGTGAAGGCACCATCACCAAACAAGCAGCCATCTTGGTGTGTTTACCTAAAACATGGTAAGCGAGTACACACAGTTAATTTCCTCATTGACACTGGAGAATTTGGATTTGGCATTTGTGCTTTGCACCAAAACCTGACAGCTGGAGTTTACTTTGGGAGCTTCCATGTATAATGCCTCCTATTAACAGAGGCGCACTGCAGTGAATGGGAGCGGCATCCTTGATGCCATTGTCTGCATAAGTTTATGATGTTTCGGGATCACCTCAAATAAAGCTAGGGTCTACATACACACAGCATTAGTCAGGAACTGCATAAAAAAAAGTCCAAGAAATTGGGCAAATCTTGGTGATGGTTCCTGGTAGCGATGCACCAATACCATCTTTTATTCGCTGATAACTTTCTTCTTTTTTGTGTGTGTCATGTGACAGTTTTTCTCAAACCATATAGACTAATTATTATTCATATAGCACCAAGAGTTTGTGCAGCGCTTTACAATATAAGTAAGACATTACAATTCAAGACAAGATGGTAAGGAGGGCCCTGCCCGTGAGGACTTAGACTAATGATTTTAAGACAGTTGTGGAGCCCCAGGGCCTGGTCGCAGTTGCAACCACGGTAGTTCTGCCACTGACTTCAAGCTGTAGAGGGACTACAAATCCCCAGAAATACATTATACAGAAATGCAGAATGGCACCGGCTGTAGAAAACTACAAACCCCAGCAATACATTATACAGCAATGCAGAATAATATGTCTGCTATAGAAGACTACAAATCTCGGCAATACATTATACAACAATGCAGAATAATAGTAGTATTCTGCATTGCTGTATAATGTATTGCTGGGATTTGTAGTCCTCTTTAGCTGGTGCCATTCTGCATTGCTGTATAATGTATTATAATAATACCAGCCGCTATAGAGGAGTACAAATCCCAGCAATACATTATACAGCAGTGCGGATTAGTATATGAATTTGCTACATACACTACTGCTGCTCTGATGCTGGCCTGATGTCTCTGGTGGAGGGTCTCAGCAGGGGCAGATGCGGAGGGTCTTAGCAGGGGAGATATGCAGGTCGGCACTATAAGCATGCACTGTGTTGTCCCCCAGAAGGCTGTCGTGAGTTCCCCAGCAAGTGCAGGACCTCAGGCAGCCGAATCAATTCAAAAATGTAAAGTGCCGGTATCGGTTTTTAGTATCGGGGCATTTTCACGAGCACAAGTTCTGCCCGGTATCCGTATTTGTGCATCCCTAGTTCCTGGTACGAACAACAAATGAAAGCGCAGCTCTCCTGAAGTGACGAAAATGTTTCACCTACTCCCTCCTACACAAGTATTTAGGCCCCCGCATCAAATCATGCACCACAATGACCCCTGCATCAGTGTAGACTGTGTGTGTGTGTGTGATCTGATTAATTTTTGTTTGTTCTTTGCAGCTGGAAGATGACCGCATGGCCTTGGTGTCGGGCATTAGCCTGGATCCAGAAGCTGCCATTGGTGTCACAAAGCGCCTATCTCCAAAATGGGTGGATGGAGTGGAGGAGGTAAGATTCCCAATGCTGAATCTGATCCTTAGATTGGAGGGGGGGTGTATTTAGCTGTGTGTATGGAATCCAGCTTTAATGGTTTGTTATATTTTCTTACAGTTGAACTATTTATCTAGAACATTTTAAAGGCGGCTCACATTTGATGATAAATGATTCTTTCTTTGTTTTAGATTAATTATGATCTCACACGTATTAAACAGAAGATGAAGGAACTGGCCAGCTTACATGACAAGCACTTAAACAGGCCGACGTTAGATGACAGCACAGAAGAGGAGCACGCTATAGAAATCTCCACTCAGGAGATCACACAGGTAACACCATGTGATTATACTGTCGTTGCTTCTGGGATATATGTGGCTGTTACTCTTGCTGAATGTTTGTGCTCTCTTCTAGATGTTCCACCGCTGTCACCGGTCAGTGCAGAGCCTACAGAGCCGAATACGTAACTGCACAGAGCAAGAGGAGCGGTTGTTGCGTAATGTGGTGTCCTCACTGGCACAGTCTCTGCAGGATCTCTCCACCAACTTCAGACATGCTCAGTCTGGATATCTCAAGAGTATGTATCATTCTTAGAAGATGAGCTACAGGTTATTTACTAAGGCTATAGCACAGAATGTGCTGCTAGAGTTAAACCAGCCATAGATGAGATGATTGTCAGCTGCTTGGGCAGATTATGATAACACAGATAATGTCTGTGGGAACTTTACATTCTTCTGACAGAGAAAAATCAATCCCAAATGAATTTTGTACACAGTTGTTTTTACCCTGAAATTAGACAAACATTCGAGTTGTCAGCTCTGCTGTCTCAAACAATTGTGTATGCTTCTACCCATTCCACACAACAATCATGTGGAAGATCTGACCTTCAGCTCAAGGCTATGGGTAGTCTTAGAGCAGGTGTAGACAAACTCCGGCCCTCCAGCTGTGGTGAAACTACAAATCCCATGATGCATCTCTCTCCGGGAGCCATGTCTGTGGCTGCGAGAATTTTGCAATGCCTCATAGGTTTTGTAGTCCCACCACAGCTGGAGGGCCGGAGTTTGGCTACTCCTGTCTTAGAGCAATCAGTTGGACAGTCCCTACAATGTGGTTGTTTCAGGTTCATGTTTTTAAACATGCCTGTAGCCACAACTTTGTTTTTGGATAGTATAGGACAGGGGTAGGCAAACTCTGGCCTTGCAGCTTTGGTGAAACTACCAATCCCATCATGCATTTGCCTCTGGGAGTCGTGTTTGTGGCTGGCAGGGTCTTGCAATGCCTAATGGGATATTTAGTTGCACCACAGCTGAAGGGGCAAAGTTTTCCTAAATTTGGCTAGAGAGACACTTTAAATGAGACCTTGGCAAGTTTCTACTACACAGATCTACTCTGTATATCAGAGCCCCAACCCAAGCTTGATTTCCACAATCTGCACCCAAGACTCAAATGTGGGAACAAAACGCTGTCACATTTTGCAGTATCCAAGCTAAAACTTTTTCTTTACTTCTGGATAAAATAGAAAAGGGTTAAAAGTAAAGGCAGATCCTCCCAACATGACAGCCGGCCTGAGCTCACGTCCCAGTATGTGAGTAACATTCTGTCCTGCAGTAAGGACCACCCACTGCCATCAGAACAGACAATAAAGGGCCCATGACATCACTTGGCCACCCATAAGACACCTGAAAATGAGGTACATTACTGAGGGACATTTTCTGAAATTAGGGGGTGCTGGAGATGGACTTTAACTGCATGTATGCCAGTCCAACATGCCTTTGTTGGAAGCACTTGTCTGCACAAGTTGCCACATTTTGTTTTTGGGAACTCGTAACCTAGGTCTATGATATGCAAATTAGCCAGATTGGGGTGTTTTTTTAATGTTCTCTTACGCAGATCAGCCAACAAAAAGTATAATAGTTTCTGACCATTTGTGTGTAATTGCTTCCTGACACGTTCATGTTATAATTTGAGCAGTCACTGTCTGTTATTTGGTTATGAAACCATACTACAATCTTTTTATGTGTAGGAATGAAGAATCGAGAGGAAAGATCTAAACAATTCTTTGACACGTCTGTCCCCCTCATGGATGATGGAGAGGACAATACACTGTATGATCGGGTAGGACTTTGTTTAGATGTCTGTGAGAAGACTGTAGATTGTTTGTTTTTTAGACATTTTAAATGACTTCCATAATGTGAAGTAAAATGGTATTTGAAAACGTTGACCTGTTGTAGAGGAAATTGTTATGGTAAATGAATCGTAGTTTACCTCCTAGCTGTTATTTCTTCTTCCTGAGACTTCTTTTCCTTCCCATCTGTTAGGGCTTCACAGATGATCAGCTAGTTCTGGTCCAGCAGAATACATTAATGGTGGAAGAACGGGAGAGGGAAATTCGTCAGATAGTACAGTCCATCTCTGACCTGAACGAGATCTTCCGAGATCTGGCAACCATGATAGTGGAGCAGGTACGGCCCAACCACTCTTTAACATTGTCTGTTCTTCTAAAGACCTCCCGCTAACACAAACTCCTGTGTGTTTTCCTAGGGTACAGTTTTGGACAGAATAGACTATAACGTTGAGCAGTCTTGTGTTAAGACAGAAGAAGGCTTAAAACAATTGCAAAAGGTAAGTGGTGTCTTGTTTTTGTGCATCTGTGTAAAGGGTATAGGGTGATCACACGATGTTCTGACCCATCTGACAATGTGCATGACGATAAATATAGTCACATGCAACTTCTTTTTTAAAGGTATTTTTCCACACAAAAAAAGTTTATTTTGTACTAGTAGCTGGTGGTTATCTCTATCTGTAGCCCTCCAGCTTCTTGACGGTCACAATCTCACCTTTCACCTGCAGTGCCACATGCTAGACATGTGCGATTCGTTTCGTTACGAATTTTCCTGAAATTCCGAATTTCGGAGCATCCGAATGGCAGTTTCGGAATTATATACGAAATTCCGTTAACGAATTTCGGATCCGAATTTCTTTGAAACAGGAACTAATATTACCCCTGTAAATGAGGTTGAACAACATGACAAGATTTTTTTTTTTAATCCGAAATACGGATCCGCTGCTGCTGAGGGTTGCATTACAATACACAGTTACACACACACACAGGCAGGAAATACGAGATTCCGTTGATGTATTTTCGTTCCATTACGAACATTTGTTATATTGAAGGTAAAAAGCAAAGTACATTTATATTGGAGTGGATGGTAGTTTTTTTTAAAGTCCGAAATACGGAATTCGGATACGGAATCCGTTAACGGAATTCGTATTTTGGATAAAAAAACAACTACCACATCGACTCCTCCAATATTAACAAAGGTATTTTTGCTTTTTAACTTCATCATAACGAATGTTCGTAAAGTTACGAAAATGTGCCGAAACTAACGAAAATACGTATTTCGTACGAATCCGAATTGAGTTTCGGATACGAAATAATGGATATTACGAAACGGAACAAATTTTTTGAAGGCGCACAAGTCTACCACATGCTATTTAATCTGAGGTCACGGCATATTCATTTGGTATAATATTTGCCCCAGAGCCATCATTGCACTTTGAGAAGTCTACAAGGCAGGTGTCCCTAAGTTTTAAAACGGGTTGGGGCCAGAAGTTCCTTCTCATCCTATAAATATGCCCCACTACTTGCATCAGATGTGTCTGGTGACCTCCTCCAGTGGCCATGGCTTACACTGATTCATGTGGCTCCTGTTCTGTTTTGTTTACTGAGCTAGTGAACCACAGTATGCAGAAGTTCCAAGTCAACTTGAAACGTCTGCAACTGGGCCTATGGAGTCCCAGCTGCACTTACTGCTGGCTTAGAATAAATTACCTCAGTTTCCAAAGCTGGTGGCTGCTGGAGAGGGTTGCTCAACTGAGGTCAGTAGTGGGGCATATCTGTGATTAATGGGGGCCGCCACTTGTTGGGGAAGTTCTGTACTTTAAGAGTTGTAAAGGAGTCAAACACTGGCAGAGAATGTATTGTGGAAATTTCTTTTGCATCATCTTTTCTTGTTTGTTCTGTACCAATTATTAAGACATTGGTTATTTAGCAACTCCTTGGCCAGTATGATTCAGTATGCACATCACCAACAGAATGGAGGAAAATGTTGCTTGTAGCGGACAGTCAAGTTATCTTGTTCATTGAAGAAATCTGGTTACTCTGGAAGACAGGGCCACTTTACCCCCGAGTTTCTTTACCCTTAGTACATGACATGTTTACATACATTTGGGAATGACACACTTTATAAATCCTTTCTCTCTCTGCTTTTTTTTTTTCCAGACTGAGCAGTACCAGAAAAAGAACCGCAAGATGCTTGTCATTTTAATCCTGTTTGTCATCGTGATTGTTCTGATTGTCGTGCTAATTGGTGTAAAGTCCTAATAGGTCATTTTTAAGATTTATTTGTATTAGTTTGGACCTGCTCGTGTTTCTGACAACACTTCCGTTACTTTGTACAAGCTGGGGACACTCCGAAACGCCTGCAGCACTGCTGATGGTTCAAGAAGCGAACGCAAAGTCCGGGGGTTTATTTCATCACATTGGCATTCTTCCCGTTCAACAATCACTTCTAGTGTTTCCAGATGAGACAATGCGGACCAAAGCAACCATGGCCTAGCAGTTTGCACTACTTGTTTAAAAGGAACACTAGTAATTGACAACTGATTTGGGAATGAAAGTTCCAGTTATGTTTACACCTATAGTTCAGGCGAAGGGATGAATTCTCAGCTTGTCTGTCGGTCCATTATAAATCATCTCTCCTTTTCCTTACCTGTGGCAAAATGGAGGTTTTGATTTCAAGTATACTGGATTGAGATGTAAGCAGCCAAGCCCATTCTGAGGGAAATCCAAAGGCTCCTTGCTGACTTCTTTCTGACAATAGTAATTGCCATGCTGGCCCTGGCTTTCAGACTTTCAAATACTGGCCCAGAGCAGCCCCCTTGTTCTAGGTCAGTGACTTGGTAAGTATTGAAGCATGACAGCCAAGCAACTAGCATCTTCAGAAGAAGTCAGCAGCTGCCACACAGAGATCAGTTTCCCTTTTAAAAAGCAAATTTCATATGAAATGCCACGAGCTGGTGCAAATTGATAACATAAATAGGGAAGCGTTGGGCTCCCTCAGCCTATTTACTGGCTCTCCTATCTCACACAAAGTACTAGTTTGGCTCGCAAAATGGCTGCTGTCACTGTAACAAAGTGGCAGGTCCTCTTTAACAGATTAACTCTCGGTGTAATGGTTTTTCTTGGCTCTGCCTTTTTGAAGGTAATTATTCCCAAAGCAGCAGACTTTTACCGAGGCTGTAATGCTGCTGTGCCCTACTGGTGAAAATTGGTATTGCATCCTCTGTCAGCAGACTAGTACAGTACTATGATATTCTACCAGGATGGGCTTTGCTCTGCCGAGTAAAATGGAGGACTCGGTAGGCCTTGTCTTTACTATGAAGGGGGTTAATACTGCGAGGGCTCCAAAATATTGTAAAAACAAAATGTGAAATCCCTTTTTGGTTTTGAGGTGACCCAGAAACATTTGTCTTTACACCTAATATTCGGAAAATGAAACCCTGCTGCATCCTGGTTTGTGAATATTACTTTAAACAAAAGATTCCTAATATTTATCCTGAAGTGGACTTGTGCAGAGTTGATGTTTTGCTGTGTCTGAAACAGGAAAAAAAAACCCCAACATGTTTCCTACATTTTGACATCATCTAATTAGAAGTCCTGTAGCATTAATAAAGGAAATGGTTGCCCTTTGCAACCAATTAGATTATTCCTTCTCTTTTCAAACTTGTTCTGGATGGACATTTGGGTGCTGATTGGTGGCAGTGAGCCCAAAGCACACTTCTTGTAGAACTAGAACAGACAAAGAAGCCTTTTTTCTGCACTTTACAGATCAATCCATTTCCTTTCTGTTGTTGGCTGTTTCCTTCTTGCATTCTTCAGGTCACAGACTTTAATTGGAGAGCTGAGGGCTGTGTGAGGCCTCAACCCTTATCTGATATCCGTTGTGGTGAGACAATGTGTTAGTGGTAGAGATGCTACCTTTTGATGCTCACTTTTTGCTATCTTTGGTAGCAATTATCAGTCCCTGTCAGCCGATTTTCGATGAAGGTCCAGACTTCATACAGCCTTTGGGGCTCTCCAATGAAAGTTAATGAGCTGTTTGTAAATCACTGAACTCTTATGTGTAAGTGGGAAGAGTAACTACTTTCTGCTAAGCCCTTATCACTTCCAGCTAAATGAATTCCTACTACTCCTATTATCAGACCTTTTTCAGATCAATATGTTCCTTCAGCAAGGTGTTGAGGAGATTTGTGTATATTTGTAATTTATAAGATTGTAAGTATGAGAGAACCTTATTTTAATGGGAAGAGCTGTAAGCTTGTGTTCTGTGTTGCCTCCACTGTAACATATGTACATTATGGGAGAATCCTCAGTGCATGCTGGGTAATAGGGCTCAGGCTGCACTGCCCCGTGGAGAGCATGTATCATAGTCACTATTACATTGGTTGGTTGGATTGCGGGAACATGTCTCTGTCGTCCTCTTTCCACTCATGTTTTGTCATTAAACTGTTGGAGTGATTGTCTATTTACTGAGTGTCTTCTATGCCCAACACTGCAAACATTTAACTCTCTAATACCAATTGTACTACTGACAAGTATGCCACAACTCCTAAAAGACAATGCAATATTTACATAACTACGTCACTGCTGTAGTGCTATAGGGGGTATGGGAGGATCCACAGCATAGTGCTGGGGGAGCAAGAATCCAACACACCAGGACGTGATGTATATCAGCAGCAGGCATAGCTGTGCAAGGGAGTGAAGATTGGAGCTGCTGCCCACCGCACAAGAAGGTATTTTTCTTCTACTTTTACTAAGTGTCTTTAGGTTTATTTTGGTGAGTTAGCAATGGGGTCACTTTAAACATCGAGGGTAAGTTATCAAACACTGTAGCAGACAGAACCTGGAGAAGTTGTGGCTGGCAACCAATCAGCTTCTACCATTTCATTTTTTAAAGCCCAACCAAAGTCACTGATTGGTCACTATGGACATCTGCTTCAGGTTTGATAAATTCCCCCCATTGTGTTTATCATGTGTGTGCCCATAGTAAGAAATGGCTCTGGACAGCGAATGGTTAGGTACAAATCCAAAAGTAGTCACCAGCACACCAAAGCATATTCTGTCAATTCTTTATTGACAAAAGAAAGGTATGTCACAATATGTAGCAACGTTTCGGAACCATTTCGGTCCCTTCTTCAGGCAAACACAATTGACAGAATATGCTTCGGTGTGCTGGGGACTACTTTTGGATTTGTACTTTATTTGCGTTGGCACCCGCAGTCATTACAGCACCCACCCGATGTTTTGGGTTGTATCTGGTCAGGAGTGCGATGGGATTCTATGGACACAGGGATTTTACTAATGACTAGGTCTGATCCTCGTATCCCTCTTTCAGTTTTAGATTTCTGATGTTCTCGATGCTGCAAAATCATTTTAAAGGACAGCTAAGCCTAAATCTCAAGTTTTTCAAAACCATTCACTGATAAATAAGTGGTCAGGAATCATTTCCTCCATAGAACAGTGCCGTCTGTCACAGGTAAGCTGCCTTGAGGCTAAATATAAAAGGAAATTGGCTTGTAGTGAATTACAGACTGCTTGGCAACGTTCTATAGTGTCGGTTGTTGTGCAGATGTCACTTTTCTATGCAAACTTCTAAATGTTTAATTTGTTGTTTCATGAGATCACTTTGTATTGGTCTTAAAGAGCCATCGTTGGCTGTACAGCCGGTATAATGCTGATGATGACACAGAGGGGAAAGTGGTTACTGGGAACTCAGAAGACAACAGCTGTGTGTTAATATAAAGAGGCAGTGAGGGGGATTTCTGAGATATATATATATATATAAAAGGCACCGTCAACCCAACTTTCTACAGGAAGTAGATATTTCTAAGTCGTGGGGGCTGGTTGTAGCATCCAAAACGTGGTGTCATTTAGCCCTACAGTCATGGAGAGGGCTTCCTCCTAGCATACACCTATAAGGGGTTTAGCCAAATGTAAATAATGCCTTTTATTTATTTTTAGGAAAACATTTCTATTTTTTATTTTTATTTGGCCAACCTTTTAGATTTGTAACGAAGTTGTCAGGTCTGCAAAAATGGGTTTCTGGTTTTTGGAGTAAAAGGTAAACTCCAGCCTTTCCTTTGGTGTTGTACCGGCTCCTCTCCTGGACTGAATGTGCTTACTCTAAATTCCACTGCACACTGTGTACTTTAGAACCTGCACCACCTCAGATAGAGCCCACCTCACTTCCTGGCTGGAGGTCATCCATTATCATCTAGTACTTTCCTCCCCAGCCGTACTCCTATCATTTATTGCATTTCTGTTCCAGGCTCTTCATCACATGTGGGAATTATCTAGGGCAGTCTGCATGCAAATACAGTCTCCCTAGGAACACCCCCCTCCACCCGACTGACATCCACCAATGCAGGCGGTTTAATATTTGTATGATTCCTCCCACTGCTTGCATCACTCCTGTTATGGACTACAATCTCATGTTTAGTTTACCATTTTATATTGAAGTTATAGTCCATCACGGGAGCGAGCTTGGAGAGTTATCAACACACATAAGGACTATGGGGAACAAAAGTAGCCACCCTCCAGAAGGAAGGACAGTGTCAGCACCAACTCACAGATGATTGGAGGATCTACAGCCGAGTGATACACAAATAAGATACATTTTTGTTAATAGTTAAGGTACTTGAATGTATTTTAGGATTTCACTCCCGAGTTTAGTGTCGCATTAAGTTGAACTCTAGGTATGATCTTTTATGGATATTTCCATTGGTCCAGCTTGGCTCTATGTAAGTAACCATAACCTGATCTCTGGAGGTTGGCTAGGGATGATCAGTTAGCACTACATCCATATATCGCTGATCTCTTCCAACCATGGCTCCAACAGCTTCTCCTCTGCTTACTGAGCACAGGAAGTCGCTTGCTGAGCAGTCACCATTCAATAAACACCTAGGGGAAAATGTATCAAAACTGGAGCAGAGGAAAATTGGAGCAGCTGTGCATGGCAACCAATCAGCTTCTCTCGTAAATCTTACCTGAGCAAACTGAAGGGAGAAGCTGATTGGTTGCCATGGGGAACTGCTCTGGATTTGATAAACCCCCCTCCCTTCTATTTTAAAGAATAAATGGCATTCTCTGGTTGGTGATGTCGCCCACCTCGTCCAATCCAAGAACAATTAGAATTGATTGAAAAAAATACAAGGTGTTCTCTGATGGTGATGCTGAGCGAGCAACTCGCTGTGCTCACTGGACCTGCATCCGGAACTGTATATAGCGCTGCTGAAGAGCTTATTATCTTCCTAAGCGGACCTCCAGAGGTCAGATGTGGATACTTGCATTGAGGAGCAGTTCATGGCAGCCAATCAGCGTCTTGCTTTCATTTTCAAAGTTTAACTGCACAAACTAAAGAGAGAAGCTGATTGGTCAGTATACTCCAGATTCTGCCTGGTCCAGTCTTCACAAATTCTTCCCATTGAGTCAAGCTGGACCAATGTAACTATCCATAAAATAAACCTGTCATAGGACACCTGTAGGGCTGCCATTGCTAATCTGTCCTGGCTGTCATGATGGCCATCTTGGCTAAATACTGGTTCATGGAAGTAGTATGCAGATCCGGAGCCAT